AAACATAAATAGATAACATACGTGAATAGTAAAATATTTAAAATTTATTCTTTGATTAAATATAATTTCTTTTATTAAGAAATTTCTAATAATATTCACATTGAAATTATGTAAAAATCTTAAAGAAACTTGGCAACAGCATGACTTAACATAAATTAGTATTTGACAGTTGGTAATTGAGATTTTCAAATTGAAATTGCTTATTGTGAATCTGTACCTCAAAATGTAACAATTACGATTAAAAGGAAAATTTTCGAGCGAAAAAAAAGATAAAACATCTTCAACAAATTCGTTATTTAACGAGCATTTTATTGGTACTGAGAAAATCTGATGGTTCCTATCGTCGAATCATCAAACTTTTGGCAAAAAATTTCGTTTTTCCTTAAATACTCCTAAATCGTTGGATCTATAGGGAAATTGCATGAGACCTTATTTATAGCTGACAACCAAAGCTACAACTTTTGTCTAATTGTAAAACATTTTTCGCTAGCTTTAATAATTATTGAATAATTGACAAAAAACGATAAAACAGTTTATTACAAATTATTCGTTAATTATTGAAACTAGCAGAAAATATTTCCTATGAAACTTAGTGTATTTGACGATATTCTCAATTTTCATTTCAAACATCTTCCGCTAACAGTAATAGGTAAGTAGTTACTGGCAATAAACAAAGATTTCGAAAATTCTGAAGGGATTTTGACGAAATCTCAAAAAGATTAAAATTTGTCTTCTCAAAATGCTTGTAATAAATGTTGTAGTTACTGCTATTACCTTCAAGAAAGGTCGTATAAAGTAAAGGAGGTAGTACCTGGACACTTTTGAACATAAATTTTTTATAATGTTTTTTTTACACTAAATCATTTATTGTGAAAAATATATCATACGTTTGAATGGCTTTTATAGCAGATCCGAATTTATCCAGGTATTGCAGCGCGATTAATTAGTGAGGGGCTAAACCTGGACAACCACTGCCGTCTTGTCCCACTTCTACGTATTAAGTTTCAAAAGGGATTATAAACTTGGACAGTAAATTATTAAATACATATCTATTATGTCAAAGTACTGGTTCCAAAATTCGTTTTGTCCCAGTACTACTTCCTTTACCTTACTTATTTCTTCTACCTCGAATACTTCATTTGTTTTCATTTTGAAAGTCAAAATCCATCAGCATGCCAGAACGAGCAATAAAAATAAAAAACAAGACACAACCTTATTACTTTTGTTTAATCTTGTTCCCCCCCCCCTAGGGAAATTAATACAAGTCGGAGATGGCCAGGAATCATTGTCCCAAGCTGTACGTGTGAAATTATGAAACGTCCAGATAACGAATTACACAATTTCACCAAAGTAGTAACTGGCGTGTATATGTATACCATCAACAGTGCTATCTCTGGTCGTATGACATAATCAGTATAATAAAACCGAGCACTGGGCTACTCCTCCTCCTCCTCCTATTCGTTTCACAAATGGTCAGATCAAATTTCGATTCTAAACGAAATATTTCTAACAAACTGAGAATACCGTCACGCATTCCCTTATTTGAACCGATCGTACGATCGCATACGTACGTAACGTACATACATACATGTGAGAAAAACGACGAACTGTCCGTGTGTATACAAATGAATGTCACACGTCATATGTTTGTGCATTTGCACACCTTATCGTTCGAGGAAACAATTTATCAGATCCAATTCCGACGATTAGCCAGAATAATCGAAAGCTAAACGTTATCAGCTCGTCGAATCGCATGCAAAACAAATTCTACAGGAATTCGAAAATGTAAACAACCGTTTAACCTTCAGATATTACGTTAGAACGTCCTTAATCGTGATTATATCAAAGATACATGTCAAATATGAAGTACACATCAATTCTTGAGCCAATATTTCAGCTTTCTGCTGATCTGAAGATTAAATATTGTTCTTATTCGACGAGAAATCATGATTGAATGCACGTCCCAAGATTCCACGTACAAATATACTCTTTTATATGAGGATTTACTTATTTGATACTCCACACGTAGGCAACGTGTGTACAGAAACGCGCGCGCCTACGTGTGCTCGCATGTGCACACCCACGTTTGTTACATATAAGAGTATCGGGTCGACGCTATTGGCCATAAAAAGCGCTTACTTGAATGAATTGTATCGTGATTGCCGATTTTCCGACGCCACCCGCGCCGACGACTACGAGCTTGTACGTCTGAGCGTAGCTCGGTTTCTCCCCGGCCCTCGACATGTTCCTCCTTATCACCGGTACACTCTCGGGGAATCAGTTATCGCGGGACCGAAGTCGGAGCTCAGCGACGCATATCGAAAACCGCGAGGACGGAAAAATACTAATTATACAAGGGAGGATTCGCGCGCGATCACAAGCCGCGTACTACGTACACCGCATACTCGTTCGTTTAACGGATAGCCGAGCTGAGCCGAGCGAAGTATATCGCGTGACAATTGTTGTCTTCGTCTCGGCTTTATTGTCTTTGTCAGTGATGGGCAGTGTACGGCGCTTCGTGGGATTTTCGATCAAGCATGCGCACTACGAAGTTACTAGTAATATTCGAGTAACGTAGTTACTTGATTGAATATAAACCTACTATTTGGGTTGGGATTAAAGTTTTGAAAATAAAATATTATCTTATC